TCTCGACTCTAAACATTCTGCATGATCAGGGCACATGAAGCCCTCTGGGCTATCAAAAGATTATTGTAAACTGAATTCCAGCAATGACTATTTACAATGTATATTTGGACTGAATGGCCTGTCTACTGTAGCCTACAGCTACAGGTGAGAGAAAGGAGCGGGGGAATGCCATTTCAAACAGTGACAGCTTGGTTTTGAGAAGGAAGACAAAATTTGATCCCACAATGCAACAGCACACAGAAGTAATGTTTTTCTGACAGGACTTATCCAAATTTTCCCAACATTACTTACACTTCCGGGACAGGATTGCAATCAAATCCTGCGCCTGTTAAGCCAGGAAAAGGTCCCGCAATTCCCAGAATGTCCCTGCTGTGCATTTTTGTTGCTGACTAAACATGAACCGGATGGCACTCTACAGGTGTGAGCCAGAAAAAGGTCCTACAATTCCCAGGATGCTTCCAGCCAGGAATTGTAGGGGGTTTTTCTGGCTAAACATGCCCTCCTCCTTCTTTTAGACCGGGAAAAAAGTACTTCAGGCCTGAGGCATCCTGAGAATGTTGGGCTCTTTCTCCAGCTAAACATATAATGCCAATATGGAAAGAACTACAATGATTACCGATTGTGGCCTGGGCCGAATTCAAGGTGCTTGTGTTGACATATAAAGTCCTAAATGGCTTAGGTCCTGGTTACCTTAAGGAGCACATACATCCATAGATACTGTTGGGAAAATTTGGGTAAATCCTGTATGAAAAGCATTACTCCTGTGTGCCTTTGCATTGTGGGATCAAATCCTGTCTTCCTTCTCAAAACCAAGCTGTCACTGTTTAAAATGGCATTCCCCTGCTCCTTTCTCTCACCTTTAGCTGTAGGCTACAGTAGGCCATTTTAGCCCAAATATACATTGTAAATAGTCATTGTTGGAATTCAGTTTACAATAATCTTTTGACAGCCCAGAGGGCTTCATGTGCCCTGATCATGCAGAATGTTTAGAGTATCATGAATAGTTTCTAGTAGCTTGAATTTGCATGTCTGAGCAGACCTGGAGATGGGTTCAAGTGTCAATACAGGCAATTAGAAATATTTTAATCTCATTGCTACAGTGTGATTGACTGACATTTCTTTATCTGTTCTGTATGTGATGACCTCAGAATCTTATTGTAATCTCTGCATTCTGTCATCAATTGCCCCGTACCTGTGTACCTATAAATGCCCTGTAGTGGTACTGAAGCTTTGCAGCAGAGTTCACCTCTGCCTGCCCGGTAATGCATGCATTATCGTGAGTACCGCGGGAACCTTGGGGTAAATACAATAAAGCCTCAGATGGTCTGGCCGCTTGGTCTTTCCCACAAACCCGCGTTTTAGTCCCTCTTCTCAAATTGAGATTCCGGGATTCTGACAATTTGGTGACGAAGGTGGGATCGTGGGTTTTTGGCCCTTTATCCTGGGCGGGAGAGATGGCAAGTTTGGCCGAAATTCTCTCCACTGGGGGAGCACAGATACTGGCCACCTCTTCCGTTTCGCAGGCGGGTCAAGGTAATTAAATCTGGTCTTGAACCTCGTTGCTTTGCACGTTGGCTTTGATTGTGGACACCAAGGAAGCATGGGGGTGTCAGAATCTCGGCTTACTACCCCATGTATCAAATTGCAGGGTGGTGTGAATGGCCATGGGCGGCACCTGAGGGGTTGTTTCGGAAGCAAGCGCTTGGTATTTTGATTTAAAACAGCATGGTCAACCCTAATTTGGCTTCGGAGGGCTCATTTGATTGAAATTGGCTACACCTTTTGCAAAAGCAGTTGGCAGAAATACATCCTAAGGAGATGGAATAAGGTTTGGTCCAAGCTGGTGGAGGAAAAAAACTAGCTAATATGGTATTGGTGCACCAGGAAAGATCTACACGTGTGAGTATATGTTTGCATTGGGTTTTGTGTTAAGTTTTATGTTCACTGTTTGTGAAAGTCTTGTGTTCATTGTTGCTGTCTGTGTTTTCTGTCTTGTCTGTTTGTATTTTAAAGTGTTCCCCTTTCTGGGAGGTAAGCATAGCCCAGACTGGTTTTTGGGGGTTCCTCAGGAAATGGAAGCTCCCCACGCAGCCACACCAATCTGTCCTCTTCAGGGCATGGTTGAAAGCAAGGGCGTGGATGGGTGTTCTTGCCCCCGAGATGAGAATGTGTGAACCTGGCTTTGACTGAAATAGACTCATGAGGTCTTTTGCCTGAGCCCAAGCTTGGCTGAGTCCGGCTGGGAGAAAGGTGATGATCAGGGAAATGTGTGTGTGAGAGATTTTTTCCTTCCCCCATTCCTTCTATATGAGCCAGAACTGGGAAGTAAGGAAATGTGTGGCCCTTGAATTGGGCTAACCCAGGTCCTACCCAGTTTTCTGGACATCCTCAATAAGCTTATCCTGTGTGAAAGCCCTGTATGAAAGAGGGGTTATATAGAAACATTTTTATGCAGGTCCTTTCCTTGTCAGAAACTGGGAACACTGTTTTAATGTCTTTAATGTAAGTTTTTCTGCCTCTTCCATCTGCCTTACAGCCCTCCTAGGTAGGAAGATTTCTTTCTTGTTAGATTAAATAATTGCATTTGAAATTCCAGGAGGGGATGCTGATGGACAGATGGAAGATGGGAAAAAATGTATATACTGTTGGGAATACTCAGTAGGAATCCTGAAAAGGATTTCCAGTGAAATAAAAGGGTTTTATATTGGGAACATATTGTTGGTAAAGTCTTGAACATTTAAAATTGTTGTGTTTAGCAATTAGTCTGAGCAGTAGCAGGCTGGAATTCAACAGGGCAGAGTGAAAAATCAGGGGAAGATAGATTGCAGTTAAACACTGATAAATATTTCTGCCCAAATTGGTTGGTTTTTCCTCCCCTGTTGAACTTGCAACTGTTTGGAATGTGAGGTTTGAAAAAGGCAAAAAGATTTTTTTTCTGGATGTTGTGTGTACGCCATGTGAGAATGAGAGTGACAGGAATTCATTGATTCAAGGGGTGCTTGGTGTGTGAGTTTTGGTATATGGGTGATTTGGTACTTTTTCTACTGAAAAAAAATGAAAGAAATATGTAACTGTTGGAAAGACAAGAAAAACAAATTGGAAAAAAAAGAGGAATAGTCTACCTTGCTAAGAGCACTCCCATTATTTAAAGAGACAGTAACTGCAGCCTCTTCTCTGGGTTTGGTCTGGCCAACTGATTCAGGGGCGATTTGTGCTGGAAAATTTGGATTTCTTGACTCTGTGGGCTTGGCTATTCCACAGAGCCAAGAAAAGGGGGGATGCTCTGGCAGGAAGATACCATCACTTTGTGAGTACTGCAGAAGCAGCACATACAAAGCCTCTGAGCATGTACAGAGTTCAAAGTACTTTGGGAAGTTTGAGCGGCTCTGCTTCCAGTCACAGGTTCTAAAAAGAAAGTCTTTGAGTATCTAGAAAACTCTCAAAAGAGATCTTGCTGTTGTAATTTTTAATGGTTTTAATTGTCCGATTGTGAGTCGCCTAGAGCTGCCATGGCACAATAGGCAGCATACAAATGTTATGAATACACGAATAAACAAACACGAGGCTGCCCTATTAGTTCATCCACCCTTCCATTCATGCAGAGAGGGCAATAAGTTAGGGCGGATGTAGCTTCAGTGGCTACGGCAAGCACCGAGGGACTTTCCAGTCCGGGCGCGTTGCAGCGGTTGCCACGGGCGACGGGGACGCCATTTTCTCTCTCCCGCGACTGCCGCGGCCCTTCTCAATCCGGCTTTGCTGAGAAGGCATTAGGGGCGTCCGAGTTCCTCCCTTGAGGGGGACAAGAGAAGAAGGCCTCAAAAGGGGGGGCACAATTGTGGGTGGGGGCGCGAGAAGGAATCGTTAAGCTACGAAAGCCCTCATAGGGACCGAGCAGCTTCCTAATAAAATGGGAGGGAGCCCAGGTGGGAAGTGAGGCCGGAATTTTAGGCGGTAGGAGAGCAGAGTTGCTTGGAGAAAGAAAGCCTCGGGAGGCCTAATTTGAAGCAAGGAAGTCTTAGGCGCTAGAATCTTGAATAACAAAATAGGTTGTCTTGAAGTATAAATTTTGAAAAACAAGGTGGGGGGAGGGTTCTGTGGTTAGGAATCTCAGAATGTGAAGGCTTAGCGACTAGAATCTGTATAAAAGAAAAGATAAACATGGGAGTTAGGGTTAGAAGTCCTGAGGCCTAGAAAGTAATCTTAGAGGCAAGGGGTGGGATGTGTGGAGTTTGGAATATGAATTAGAGGTTGGTAAGGGAGCCATGGAGACTAGAATCTGAATAAAAGAGAAAAAATGTGTTCCGAGGCTTAGATTTAGTAACTTGAAAGCAAGGAGTTTGGAATATCTCAAACAAGGGCTGGCAGGAGAAGATCAGTGAGATGGCCCCAGATAGAGAGGTTGGGGTGAGACCTTTCTCCCCAGGGCTGTGTTGAGCAGTTCCTGAAAGACGTTATAACTGAAGTTGTAGATGAGTGCTGGAGTCTAGAAGTGTTTCTGAGGGTAATTTTAGAATCTCACTGGCATTTCATTTGCACTCTCTTGCAGGCACTGACCTCTGGGTAGCGAGGAGCCAAACTTGCCTCTCCTTGCTGGAGGATTCCTTTTGAGTTAAGGGGAAGGCATAATTAATAACTTCATTTCATATTCCCAGTGCAGATGCTCCTTTATCCCTAAGTTCCATGTGATACCCTGAGCTATTTAGTGGAAATAGTCAAGCTTTGTGTGCACAGGAAATGGGGATCTGGATTGATCCTGAGTGCCTGAAGGATATTCTGTGAGTGGACTTGTACTTATTTGGTGTTATTTGCTAATGCATGTGGCTCCAAGTTAGCAGTGCTGCCAGTGTTATCCTTTGAGGCTATGTTTATCCTGTTTGGAATTTGAAAGCAGGGTGCTGCATAAGGTAAAGTCAATCTATAATAACTGCAGCAGAAGCCTGGAGGATCCGTTGGAAAGGTGGTTTATATAGCAAAAGGAGGGAGTGGGAGACAAAGGCAGGATGCCGCTGAACCCAAAGCTAGACCCTCGTTACTTTGTGCTGATCAGGCCTGTGCCCACTCCTACCCAGAAAGGCCTGAAAGTCCAAGCTCGAAGCAACACCATCTACAGTTGTTGGGATGTCACGAGAGAACAGGTGTTCCTGGAGAACTACCGCCGGCGGATCAGACAACTTACTCAACAGGGTTACTTCAGCCCTAGTTGGAGACCCTACCAGGATTTCGGAGACCCTCTTTACCTCGATCCAAAAAAACTTACCCTCTATGGGCTGGGACAGCTATCCCCGGTAGGTGTGCTGCAAGGTTACGGCTTGCTTCATATATTTCACATGTTATTGCTCTGATAGATTTATTTTCCACTCTTGGGCCAGAAAAGGCTGCCACAGTCTTAAGCCATAGGCCAGGCCCCACCCTTCCATTTTCAGTGTTGGGCTATAATCCTTTCCATCCCCATCCAATGTGATAGTCACATCCGGAGGGTGCCAGGTTGGGCAAGACTGATGGAGAACTTGGATTGGCAAGTGGTAGACCCTGTCAGGCCTCTGGGTGAAGGCCAGGAAATGGCAAACATTTCTGACTCTTTAATTTCACGATACCAGCAACAAAAAGGCAGCGGTTCGTTATCTTTGATCTATGGGCAAGCTGTGCATCTGAGTCTCAGTGTTCCTCTTATATAAAATGGGACATAATATTTAGGCTACAACTGACCTGACTTGCTGCTTCTTAAAATTGTATTCGAAAAAAAACAAAGCCAGGCTTGGCCTTATGTTAATCGCTTGTTACGAAACCATAAAGTGTAATCCTATTGCAGGGTCCATAAGTTCCCACACCTGGTGGCTCGTGGTCATCCAGTGCAGAGTGTGAGAGTTAGGCAAGGTGATCTTCACTGGCTTATTCTGGAGCAGAAGGGGAAGAGGCTGGAGAGGCATCAGGATAACTCTTATCCTAAACCACCCCCCATTGCCAGAATGACCCTTGTCTCCTCTCAAAGGAGCAGCCACTATAAGGGGAGTGAGTAGGAGGGTGGGAATTCAGATTTTGTATGGCTTCTCAGATGCTGACTGGGAGCCATAGGATCGTTCCCTTAGTGTTTCTCTTCAGCTGTACAAATACTGCTTTTGACTAGTCCTTTTTGCAAATCTGCTGGCCAGTGTTAGGCTTTTTGTTTAGAACGCCTTGTCTAGATTATCTAGAACAAGACTTGTTCTTGTCTGTTGCAGTGTATGACTTGCAGGGGGCAATAAGAATAGAGTTATGCCCCCTGAACTATTGCTTTGTACCAGGTCCCATCCCATGAGTGTGCACTTAACTGCATTGGGATATTGGGTTTCTAATAAAAATATAAGGTAGATTGCACAAGCTGGAAGTCTGCCCTCCTTGGATATAGAGCAGCTGACACAAAAGGAAAAGGGAGAAAGAAAGCAAAGGGTCGTTAGTTTTTACTTGCACAGTTGTAACAACCCACTGGAGTGCACACAATTTGAGGAGAGAAGGAACTCGGAGTGCTGGTCTCTCCGCAGAGAAAATGGAATGGCCCCTTCTTGTGCCTTGCAGCAGCTTGCTGCAGTATCTACTGGTGGCAGATGAAAGTCGAGAGGGGGAGGCGCACAGCCAGTGGCCTTGCTCCCTTTCGTGATCTCTGCTGTAAGCTGACACTGACTCTAATTGAAGCGTTTTTTTCCTTGGGAGGCATGAAGTGAGTGACAATTGGGTACAGCACCAAACGCTATTTTATTTCTTTGTTATGTTTATACCCCACTGTTTTTCCTCTTGCAAGGAATCCAGAGTGGCTCACATGGTCTTGCTTCTGACCCTTTTATCCTCCTGACAACCCTGGGAGGTAGGCTAGGCTAGAGTGGGTGACTGGTTGGGAGTTGTCCAGCGAGTTTTATGGCTGAGTGGAATTGGACAGAGATCTCCCAAGTCCCAGGGCAGCACTCTAACCACAGCACCACACTGTGTTGCAAAAAAGTCGGCTACAGCAGACCTGTGTGTTACTAATCCACTGCTCTTGGTGTTCCAACCTTCCCCAACCTGGTGCCCTCCAGTTATGTTCTACTGCAGCTCCCAATGCCATGCCGATTGGTGTTGATGGGACTTGTGATTCAAAACATCTAACAGGTATGGGGTTGGAGGACAGGTTTGGCCCATTAAACCTGGCAGGAAGGTCTACAACCTTACCTTTTCCACTGCAGCTCCAAATGCCACTAACCTAACAGAGTTCCCTCCCCTATGTTACTGCTGGAAATTCTGGGCATTATGAAAGAATGCCATGACAGGCTGAAAGCTAGTCCAGTACCGGTTAAGTCTGGGTTCTGCCTTCAGGTGTAGAAAGAAATAGGGGTCTGCCACATCAGTCTCTTTTGCAGTGTAGAACTGAGTTGGCCAGGCTTGTTATGAATCCTAGGAGCCTCGTCATCTTCCCTTCCCTAGGCAGTACAGCAGAACTGTTTGTGTTTCAGAGGAACTGCCCCGTTGAGCGCACAGAGTGCAGGGGAAGCGGGATTTGGCAACTCACGGTGCTGGCCTTCCGCCAGTCCCTCCCCTGGTATTTTCATTCAATGAAGCTAGAACGCTTTTCAGAGCACAGCATTTCCAGCCCGCTGTTAAGAGTGCTTTCTGGAGTGGTAACTTTCCCACGCACATACTCTTCCGAGGTTGTCCCGCAATGGCCCAATTGAGCCCTTTTAGCGTTCATTTAGGAACTGTGGAATGACCTGATTTTGTTTTAGACTCCTGCTCTCCAGAGATGGGCATGCTTTAAGCAGGCAGCTCTGATTCATTGAAAATCAGGGAACGTTGCTCCCCAGACAGCTTTTTTGATTACCTGAGTGTTCCGAGTTCAGTGTTAAAAAGGCCTGCTTGGATTCCTTCGTGAGCCAGCACAAGGGGATATTAGCCCCCCCTTTTGTCTGTTCAAAGAGTTAATTGCTGTGGCAAATTCATCTGTAATACCCATGGGGTGGCTTGTTGACTTCTTAAAGTAAAGAAAGGTGACTTCTCCTTTTATTTTTCTGCCCCTCCCCCTTAGGACATACTCAGAATGTTTCTGTTCTTTTCAATTTGTAGCCTCATTGATGCCCTGCCCTGCTCTGTGCTTGTAATAGGATTCCGTTGGGTAATTGTGTGCTGAACATAAAGAAGATGTGTAATGAGATGGGCAGCTGCATTTGTCCACAAAGAAACAGACAAAGGAAATGGAGCCATTTATGTTGACAGAAATTACACTATTTCAGTGTTATTTTTGCTCTTGTAGTTAAAGGCCTGCCAGGACTGCTATTAGAGGGTTGCATAAACCCTTTGTTCTAGGCCCACTCCCCAGTTGGCAGTTAATCTCCTCTTTTAAATTGAGCAAGGACTGAGGGATCGGTATGCTCACATGAGCCAAGGCATGTACAAAGGGCTCTTTAACCTGCTCCACCCCAGCAACAGAGACCTGGGCAGAATTCCCTCAAGCTTTCTTGGGCTTGCTTTCCATGTTCCTCAGCATGGAATAGTATCCTTGAGACTGAGGGTTGTGCAAAGCATGATGGGAAGCCCCTGTGGGCTGAGAGAGAAAGGGAATGTAGGACAAGACCTTCTACCAGGTCACACCCTCTGGCCCATTTTCTGATGTATTAGGTTCAGTGGCTTGGTTTGTATATAATAACAATTTGCATTTGTTAAAAATTGTAGGTTGTGATAGAAGAGGCAGTATGCTCATGCAAACTGCCCAGTTGCTCATAGTGCTTCATGCAGACCAAGATCTTTGGCTAGTCTCTCCCCCAACAAGCAGGAGAAAGAACTGGCAGTCAGTCCATCCTGGTGTACTTCAATGGATTAATGTAGGCATTTGTTAAGATTCTAGGCTAACAAAGACAAAAAAGCAAGCCAGTACCATTTGTGTTTTTATTTGGAAAACTGAGTTTACTTTCTGTTGTAGCTTCCTACTGTAAAGCTGGGAATTATACTTTGGTAAAGATACTAAGACTGATATAAGATCCCTAGTCCTCAGCTACTGTTCCCTGGTTACTATTAAATCAGTTTAAGCCTGTAGAGTAGATACACCTAATGAACTGGTCTTTAATACCACGAAAGCCTAAATAAGAACATAAAAAGCTTCTTTATCTGATGGAGTCAAGTCTCACATCCATCTAGTCCAGTGTTGTCAACACTGACTGGCAGCCAGAGCTCTCCAGGGTTTAAGGCAGGAATCTTTCCACCCTTCCCTGGACATGCTGGGGATGAAACCTGTGCTTGCAAAACAGATGCTATTACATTGAACCACAGCCCTTCAGCCAAGAACATATGAAAAGGCATAGGAGCCTTTGCACTTGCAAAACCATTGAAGTCCCATATATATCAGTTTTCATTCTCTCAGGGCTCCTGTTTGTTATGTTTCCTGTGCTGCAAGGCATGGCACTAGGAAAGTAATATTTGGAGCTGGTGACAACTAAATTTTTGTACCACATGAGACTCTTTCAGTGGCTCACTGCAGTTGAGCTCAGCAGCTACCCTGACACATGTGCCCATTTGCCCAGTGTAATTAAAGGCTGTGACGTCTGTGGAGGAAATGTAGAAGTGGACTGGAAAAAATGAGCTCATTTTTAAGCCATCAGAGCTATTTCTAGTGGATGGCTTTGTCCTCCAATGTTGTCAAGCAACAAGCCGTGGCGCAGCACTGACTGTTACTTGTGCAAAATGAGAAATCAGAGGCTCCTTATCCAGGTATATGAAATAAATGCATGGGTGGGCCAGTGAACTGGTTCCTTTGTCTTCCTGGTCATGTCCGTTTCTTGCTGAATAACCATTGGCTCACTTTTATCATTGCACCAGTACTGTTGCTTTATGAACCAGCTTAATGATCCCTGTCCAAAGAGCTACTTACCAGCACATTAAGTACTTAAAAATATATATTTAAATGCTGGTGAGTGTTTTTAAAAAAACACATTTCTGCCTGTTCATTGCTCAGGTTAGCTTGCACTAATGCAAATGACCTTAGATTGGCAAGAGCACATAGATGCTCAGCCAAAGGTCATACAAACATAGAAACAGAGCGAGTCAGAAGGGGTCTCTCGGTCCATCTAGTCTGACCTCTGGCACCAGCCGGCTCCGCTCACGACATGCCCACCATGTGGACGTCCAGCCTATCCTTGAACACTCGCACCGATGGGGCTTCAACGACCTCTCCTGGAAGCCCATTCCACACCCTCGGGGTCCTAACTGTCAGGAAGTGCAGAAAAAGAAAAGGTAGCCATGTTGACTATCAGAGCAATCCCCAAATTCTTGTTGCTGTTGCTGTAACTAC